TCTGAAGGACTCGGCCCATGATCTGGTTCTGGAGGACCCGGCCCAGTGTCTGGTTCTGGTTCTGAAGGACTCGGCCCATGATCTGGTTCTGGAGGACCCGTCCCAGTGTCTGGTTCTGAAGGACCCGGCCTAGTATCTGGTTCTGGAGGACCCGGCCCAGTATCTGGTTGTGGTTCTGGAGGAGCCGGCCCGGTATCTGGTTGTGGTTCTGGAGGAGCCGGCCCGGTATGTGGTTCTGGTTCTGGAGGACCCGGCCCAGTATGTGGTTCTGGTTCTGGAGGACCCGGACCGGTTTCTGGTTCTGGAGTGTTTTCTCTCTTCCAGCTGGGATGAGCTTCCAGAACATAGATCCATGAAGGCAGAAGCTGCAGAGACCAGAACCATTCCAGTGTTTGGACCGGAACCAGTGAAACCTGATCAGAACCGGGTGTAATGTGGAGTCGGGTCTGGACAGTGTAGGTAGAACTGTCCGTCAGAACCAGAACTAGCCTGTCCACATCCAGCCTATCTAGTCGGGTTCAGAACCAGGATCAGAATGAGGCTGAACCTGCTGGTTCTGAACGGGTCCAGATTTACAGGTTGTGTTCACATCAGAACCTTCTGGCTGCAGATGTTGGACCTGAAGTCATGAAGGTTCTAAATGACTCCTGTTGGTTCTGCTTCCAGGTCCAAACCTCCGGAACCGCCTGACCTCCACTCCAAACCTTCAGTCCTCCTCTGCGAGCCCGACCCGCAGCTCCAGAACCGGTCCGGCTGGGAGCCAGAGACCCAGAGGTGGGTCAGCGGGCCGCTTAGATCCAGAACCTGCGCTTCTGTTGGATGATGACCCGGTTTTTGGAGGACGACCCGGTTCTGGGGACTTCAGCCACAATACTTCCAGCTCCAGCTCCCCTGTTGGATGTAGAGGTGAGACCAGAACCACCAGAACCAGAACCAGACACAGCAGAACTAGAACCACCAGAACCTGTGACCGTAACAGAACTAGAATCAGAACAGACTGTTTCTGCTCCTCCCAGATTCTTCAGACCTGCAGCTGCGCTCGGCCAGCCTCTCCAGCGATGACGTCATGGTGATCAGCCAATCAAAGCAGAGCCTGTCCCGTAGCTCCACCCTCCCGTATGACCACACCCCTCAGAGGGCCCAACCGCAACGAGGCGGCGGAGCCAGGGTTAAACCACGCCCAGGTTCCCCAGGAAGTGAGATGGTAACTCTGGAGGAGTTCCTTCAGGAGAGCAACCTGCTGTCCCCCCCGCTGGTGAGACCCCCCCCCCCCAGTTTAATATTAATGTTATTAAGGAGCTAATTAACCAATGAATGCGCCTCTTCATCAGCTGTCAGCAGGAAGCACAGATGACCTCATCACAGATTACTTCACCAGAAGCCCCGCCCCCTCATCCAGGGACCAGGGGACTCCCACCAGCTACGTCCCCCCAACCATCCACTCATCCAATCAGAGGCCCGGTCAGAGCGTGAAGCCGTCCCCTCGACAGCCGGTCGGCCAATCGCCAGCCTCGAACCAAACGCTCCCCCAGCGAAGCGGCCAATCGCTGAGCAGAGCCTTCAGCCTGGCCTCCGCTGACCTGCTGTGCTCCCAGGGACCCGACAGCTACGACGCAGACGGAGTGGTCCGTCGCCAAGGAGGCGGCGGCGCCCAGCGACAGCGTCCCCTCTCTGCCCGCTTTGGACCTCCGGACTTCCTGAGTCCCACTGTCCAGCATTCGGCGTCCCTGAACCTGCAGACGGAGAGGTGGGCGGAGCGTGAGCGGGACAGGGGGCGTGCGGCCGTCTGCAGGAATGGCCACCGTGGAGAGGTCGCCATGGTGACGCCGGTCAGGGCCACGCAGCCCCATGAAGCGTCACAGGAAGTGGAGGTCCAGGGGGGCGAGCGGCCTGGAGAACCAGACTCCAGCAAAGATGGCAACCGAGTCCAGAGCGGGTCCAAGAGCACGCCGTCCTCTCCGGACCCCAACAGCGACCCGCAGACCGTGTGGTACGAGTACGGCTGCGTCTAAACCCAGGGCGGGCCGGTCTAAGCGCTGGAAAAGGAACACGGTCTGATCGGACCAGCGCCGGTCGGCTCGGTTCTACAGAAACATTCACTGTCAGGCTTTGGTTCTGATCCACCACTGAGAGGGTTCTCCAGAACCCGACCTGAACACGTCTCCATGGGAACAAACACTGGAAGAATAAATAGCTGGACGGACGGCGCCCAGCCCAAATTACAGGCTTCCTCCTCCATCTTTAGCTCCTACCCAGCATGCATCACTTTACGGGAAGCCCGGCCAGCGCCGCTCGCTCTAACCCAAAACCACTGAGGAAACCACGGTGTTTGGGCCCGGCGCCGGAGGAGGTCCAGCTCAACAGAACCCGGCTGTGGTTCTGGAAGGAGGAAACGATGCGCTTCTATTTTCATCACGGCAGGAAGCGGATCGGCCTCTGCAGAACCTGCAGTCTGACCCAGAACCACGGTCCTGTTCTGAGGGTCCATCAGAACCGACCAACGAACCACCCCCCCATGCATTATGGCCCGTTTCCTGGTTCTGTTTCTGAAAGCTGGAAAACCTGGAAGGTTCTGATCAAAGACAGGAACCAGAGGAACTAAGATGATGATGATGATGATAGTGATGAAGAACAGCCTCTTCCTGCACAAACCTGTAAATTATTTCCTGTAACTTTTGTACATTTTCAGTAAATATTGGACCCGGCGCCGGTCCGGTCCGGACGGGACTCGGCGCCGGTCCGGACCGATGCCTTTAGAGAACCTGGTAGCTGAGATGGTGTTTGTGTCGGTTCTGCTGCTGCTGTGATGTCACTACTGCTGAATCGGACCTGCGGTTCTGTTCAAAACTTGGTAGAAATAAAGATCTATGAATTTAAACTGTTTCTGCTCCTGATTTGGACCGAGTCTCAGCGGTACCGTCAAGGTGGAACATTCCTGCCTGGCTCCGGGTCCAGTGGACCGGACCAGAACCTCTCTAGGAACCAGATGGCAGCAGAACTTGGCGAAGAGGAATGAGGTTCTGGGACCGACTAGATGTTGGACCAGAACCGCATCTAGACAGACCCAAACAGCTGCTCCCTGCACGGTGGAGGAGGTGTTATGAATTGGGTCGGGGGTTCTGGAGCCAAACTGTTGTAGATTCTTTGACTTCCAGAACCATTGTTAGACGATTATTGGACATCAGTTCTGTTCCGGTTCTGCTCATCAGAAGTTCTGCTTTCATGAACCTGAACAGATTTTAGCCTGGTTCCGGTTCTGGAAGTCATCTGGGTTTGCCAGGTAGTCTGGTTGGAGATCCTGGTTCTGTTCAGGTTCGGCAGAGAGGACCGTTTGAGGACAGAACCGGAAACAGCTGCCGCGCGGGTTGGAGCCGCTGCTGCTCGGTTCTATCCCGGGAATCCATAGCTGTGGTTCCGGACGCTCCGAACCGGTCCAATCTGCAGACATCTTCCTCCCAGCCGGACTCGGGCTGCGCGCGCGCCCCCTGCGGCAGGGTTCCGTGTGTTTGAAGCGTGCGCGCGCTCTGCGGTCCGCAGGCGCTCAGCGCGCGCTGTCAGTCTGAGGACCGCCGGAGCGGAACCACGCGGGAGAAACTCCTCTCTGCTCAGAGCAAGTTTGAGGAGAAGTTCGGAACCAGTGCGGGTTTCTGGATCAGATTCGGATTGAAGCTGCAGTTCGGAACCAGGAAGGTCTGCGCGGCAGGTGGACCTCCAGCTCCAGGTAGGAGTAGCTGAGGGCTGTTGTCATGGTGATGTGGAGGTTCGAGGCTGACTCCAGAACCGTTAGCTTGTTGTAAAAATGGATCAGAACCGGGACTTTATGACTCGGTTCTGGAGAATCCGGATGGGTTCTGATGAGCTGCAGAACCTTTTAGAACTTGTTCACTGAGCGAGGTTTGCACTGCTGCCAAACCTGCTGCCAAACCTGCTGCCAAACCTGAGCAAGCTCTGCCCTGGTGGCGGTTAGGGGCTTCCTGTGGTTCAGCTTCACCAGAAGAACCAAAGAACAGAGGAAGTTAGAGACCCAGAAAACCGGAACCCTAAGGAGGCTAAAAGCTTCCTGGGGAGGAGGATGTGAAGACGTGTCCCTGGGGACATGTCCCTCATGCAGCTCCATCTAGTTTTGGACCCAAACCTTGTCTCCCAGTTCTGCTGTCCTCCTTTCAGTCGCTCCGTCCTGGGATCCTGGTTTGAACCGGTTTAATGATCCTGGATCAGAAGCGTTTCCAAAATTGGACGAGCAGAATCTGAACAAAGGTGCTGGAGTCTGCTGCCTCCGTTCACCTCCTCCATCCTAATTCTTCTCCATCAGGAGCAGCTTCCTGGACCAAAGAGCAGACCTGGTTCTGCTTTAAATCCAGCTGGATTCTCCTGGGCTCAGTCTTCATCTCAGTGTTAACTGGTCTGACCTCAGAACCCATTTGGATTCAGAGTGCAGGCTGCTGTTGGGTCCAGGCCCAGATTCTGGGCTGCGGTTGGATGCAGAGCAGAAGCTCTTTGTGCAGCAGGACACAGAAGCCAAAGCCAGATCCGCTCGGCGTCCGAGGAGTCCAGGAAGTGAAAGTGGAATTCTAAGGGGGGGGGGGATTGATGTCTGGCTGGTTTTCCTCAGATAGAAAATGACTGGATGATCTGAGTGATCTGGATCTATGAAGTGACCTGAGTTGACGCGTGTTGGTAGTGATGTTAAAATATGAGTGCATTGATACAACAGAATGTCCAGTCTCCTGTGGGCTGCTTTCTGAAGCAAGGTGTCGGTGATCCAGATAAACGTTCATTTCTTCAACAGAACCATGAGCTCGATCGCTGATTCATGATTAAACGATAACAGATCGAATAAAATACACATTTCTGAACTGAGAATGACATCATTGAATGAGTGACGGGTCATTTTCCTCAGCTTTTAACTTGCTGGAATCCGTGTAGGCAGATCTGTTGACATGCAGATCTGAGTCTATAGCTCTAGATCACATTCAGTCTCTGTGGTTAAAGTCTTTGCCTTCATAGATTCATTAAAGTCATTTAGAGACCTCATGGGATTTATATACGGCTGACACTCAGTTTTGGAAGCAGAAGGTTCTGTTCAGATTCACATCAGAACAAGAGAGACCTAGAGGACCGCAATGTCCAAAGCTATGCGCTCCAGAGCACCAGTACGGACCGGAAATCCATGATCAATACCTGAAACAGCTTTCCACCTGTCCCGCTATGCGCTCCAGAGCACCAGTACGGACCGGAAATCCATGATCAATACCTGAAACAGCTTTCCACCTGTCCCGCTATGCGCTCCAGAGCACCAGTACGGACCGGAAATCCATGATCAATACCTGAAACAGCTTTCCACCTGTCCCGCTATGCGCTC